TGCCTCCTTATTGATATGGCAGTTCCTGCTGACTGCAATGTATCTTTGAAGATATTCAAAAAGTTGTCAAAATACAAGGACCTTGAAATCTCGAAAATGTGGCATATGGGAACATCAACAATCCCTATTGTAGTTGGAGCCCTAGGACTGGTTGGAAAAGATTGCAGTAGACTAATTGAAGGGATTCCTGGAAGTCCATGCCTCAAGGAGATACAAAAAAGTACAGCCCACACTTTACGAAGGGCTTTATCTATGTAATTTTTTTTTTTTTTTGTCAGTGGAAAGTGTCATGACGCCATTTCTAACCCTAGGTCCCTGGGCGGGACCCGGAAAGAAACGCCAGAAATCAAAGAAAATAAAAATAATATTAATAATAATAATATTTATAATAATAGTGTCCATAACATATTTTATTCATAAAAGGAATTAAAAATATCCTAATTAAATAATGTCTTAGTTTTATTGCATGTTTTATTTTACAATTCAGAACATATTTGCTGTTACTGGGGGCCCTGTTTGACCAAAAAAATTGATGATTTAAATTCTCTATGATTCCTTATAACAAATAATTTAATATAAACATTACGGCGTAAGCGATACAAAAAGAATTTCTCGAAATTTCATAAAATTAAATGAGTATGTCTGTCTGTTTTAGAAAAATACTTTTACAAAGATTTCCTAAAAACAAAATTTTCAAAATAATTTCTAAATAAGTCCTGAAAGTTTTATTAGAACTCGACAATCATCTAATTTTTGGCAAGAATTTTCAAATAAACGTATTTTTCACCGTAAAAAGACACTCAAATTTCCCGTACAAATTTATGACGTTACGATATCTTCGTCTAAAGTTTTTACCTACTTCATATCCTGAAGCGTAAACTCTAATTCCTCCGTTGTTACATCTGGAACATTACTAGTACCTACAATTTACAAACTGCAAATTGACTAATAAAAAATCAACAGAATATAACAAATCACTTTGTTTGGCTCTTGCGGAATAGGAAAAGGCAATTAATTCAGTTGAACATTCAGTATTTTTAAAGTTAATACAAGAATAAGGCATTAATGAAAATTCTATAAAAGTTGTTGAGAGTATATACAGTAACAATATTAGAATAATTTGACTGCATAAAGTCACAGATAAAATTAAGATTAGATAATGAGTGAAAGAATGAGATACAAAATCGCCTAAATTACTTAAAGTATGTTTTGAAAGCAATTTCCGGAAAATGAATCCAGAAATAATGGGAGAGTGTCATAGAAATATCGAAAACTTCAATATAATTATTTGAATTAAATTAATTCAAATAATTATATTGAAGTTTTCGGTTCTTGTTTTGAAACATGAGACCTCTTATGTAGCGTGTTGGAATCATATTTTTAAATAAATAATTATATTTATGCTCTACTTTTGTATCGAGCACTATTTTTTAAAAATAATAACAAAAATACTAAAGAACTTTGGATCATTTACCCAACCAGTTCTTACCTATTTTCTATATATTTTCACACACACACACACACACACACACACATATATATATATATATATATGACGGACTCTCCCGACGTATGAGGGTCATCAACTCAGTTCATAGAAACCGACAGCCACATTTGATTTAATTATAGTGGTCGTAGTACATATGATTTAATTATAGTGGTGAAGACTTTGTGCAGAACCAACCACACTTTTTTTGAAGGGCCGAATACAGAGACCTGATGCACTACATGCCACAAGGTCCCCAAACAACCTTCCACTCGTTTTTAATTCATTGTCCTTCTCCTAGATCAGAAACGGAAGACTTGGAGAAGAAAGAGGATTCATACCTTTTCCAAGGGTATTAGCACGTAAGTGAATGTACACAGGATTTCCCTTTGAGCTTGTCACTACTCTGCGAATATCTTTACATGCATTCGCAAGTGCATGTATGTGAGTAAAATAGTTAAGTGTGTAGTTATGTGTGTGAGCGCAGCGTAGTGATAATATTTATATATAGGTTTGCGCGTACGAGCTTACACGAAGGGTCAATGTTCGTATATATATATATATATATATATATATATATATATATATATATATATATATATATATTTATTCTTTTGCCAAACCAACCAAACCGGATTTTTTAGGAAATAGACTTGTTATCTGCTAAAAGAACGTCGACGTGAAAAAAAATATAATAATAAAAAAAGTATTAGAGGAAATACATTTCCCGATTAATGAATAGATTTGTAAGCGAACAACTTGGATCAGTTCTTTAATTCTCTGTCCTTCCCTCTTTCTCTCTTTCCGCATTCCTTCTCTTTCATTATTGTCTATTTTTATTCATTTCTTATTTTTATTCTCCTTCTCTTTCGCATCGCTTTTCCTGTTTTTATTTTGTTTCCTATTTTCTCTCTTCTTTTCACTCTCCATTTCTTTCTGTTTTGTGTGCACCTTATTTGCATTCTATATAAAGGAAAGAAAACAACTATCTTGGCAGTTTCATTTCAGAATCTCGTCGCCAAATTCAAGGTAGGTACCCAGATTTAACTGAATATGGATTTGGTACAGTTTTTGTTTTTCGCTTGAGGATATTTTAATGTATTTCTGGATGTACGGAAAGATTGTTTAGTCGTTAATCATTATGATAATTCGTTGAAAATGTGCTGCATATTTTTAGGATACATTGTTCAGGACACATTGAATTCATATTTGTATGCTTTTAAACGCATCCAGGTACTACCACGGATTTCTGAAAAAAAAAAGGAAAGGAGAAAAACGCATTTTAAATAATTTAAATAAATGTCATTTTTCTTTGTTTTATGTGAAAGATAACAACCTAAAGCTAATCC